AAATTCTGAAATATGTGATTGGTGGTCAACATATTGATCACCTCCACACTGGCAATCCGTTTCCCCAGGTGAATTTGCAGATTTTCTAGGACACTGTTGTGTGAGGGTGTATAGTTTGGAAGAACGCACGGGGCTGTGCTGGGACACACAGAAAAGAAGGGGAGGTTCACTAAGACCTCACTGTCTTCTTTTTTTCCATAATGCTGAAGATTGTGTTTGATGATATGTTTTGAAGCACTGTAAAGTGCTTATTAAATAGAAATTCAAAAATAACTAGTACCAAGCTATATCTCACTGTATCAAATATGTGGGGGTGATAGCTACTCATAATTCATTTTAATAGTGTAAATGAAGTCTCTGGGATGCCAACGAAGCAGAATGGAAGGCTGGGAGAAAATTGAGAGAACCTTGAGGAAATGATGCACACTCTATAAGAGAAGGCAGTTGGGATTGACCCCAGCCAGACCCTGCCTGACAAAACAATGATCATGCAGATGTGCGCTTCACATGGTGGTTCCAAGTCGAAGGTTCTGACCATTTTCGATCTTTTCATCTCATACATGCTGTACGCCCACTGAGCCCTTGAATCCAAGCCTGGGTTGAAATCCCAGCTCTACCATTTACTAGTGGCACAGCCTCAGACAAGAAACCTACCCATCAATACCTCCAGTTTCCTTAACTGTAAAACGGAAATAATTACAGAAACTTCCTCACACAGTAAATACTCAAGGTCTTTTTACATTTGCTTTCTCTAAATAAATTCACAGAGAGAAAAAATGTCTAATGAAGCAACCAAACCTGGATCGGTCTATTCATAGCCATCAAGAAACTCAATGTCTCATCAAAAGTCTGTTCAAATATCCCTAAAACCATCACAGGGAAGACCTCTGCATTTCTTTTTTTTTTTTATAAAGAAAATTTCTTTTTATTTTATTTTATTTTATTTTATTTTATTTTATTTTATTTTATTTATTTATTTGACAGAGAGAGAGAGAGAGCACAAGCAGGGGGAGTGGCAGGCAGAGGGAGAGGGAGAAGCAGGCTCCCTGCTGAGCAGGGAGAACCTGAGGCGGGACTCGATCCCAGGACCCTGGGATCATGACCTGAGCTGAAGGCAGTCTCTTAACCAACTGAGCCACCCAGGCACCCAGACCTCGGCATTTCATAACCCTGGAATTTGTGGCATTTACAAACAAGGCAGAAATTTCAAAGTCTTGAAGATTTTACTTTTTATTATACTTTACTGTATCGCATAAAAATATATTGATGGGTTCCCATAAAGTTCTCTTTATTACTTTCTATAGATTTTCAAGTTGTTATACTACGTGACATATTGGTTGTAATATATGTTATGATTAATTGGTTTAATATTGTCTTTGGGATCACACCTAAGAAGAGTTAGTCATTGAGTCCAGTATAGCATTGTTTCTGTAGGAAAACCAGATGACTTAAATCATCTGGTCATGAGGTCAGAGTGCAGGACCAGAAAATGGCACCAGGAAGCCAGCTGATACTATTGAGGTTTGGGTTAAGGAGAGAACGAGGGGGAGGGGAGACATGCCCAGCTAAGAAGGAGTTAGAAGTGCCCCTCAGTTTAGCATGGGGTTGAAACCAAAATTGTTTCAATGGTCTTCATATATTCTTTTTTTGGTGGGCAGCAAAGCAAAATTTATTGAGCGATAATAAAGTGATTGTACAAAGCTCCTGAAGAGGGAGGGGACCTGAGAGGGTTGCCTGGTCTTCATATATTCTTGTAGAAACATCTCATATAGTTTGGCAGAGACTAAATCCATTTTTTAAAAGGGGAAGAAGAAGAATGTACTGCTCTTAAATCTGAGATAATAACAAAAGCAATGAGCTTTACCGGTTTATACACACACGTACTATGATGACATTGCAGCCCAGATAAACTTGAGTAGGAAATAGCTGAACATAAAAAGATCCAGAAAAGAAACCCGATATTGTGATTTTTACTGACCTCTGTGATGTGGGGACATTTTTCACGTGTCAGTCTGGAAGTTATTATCTTTCTACCAAAATGCAGATGCTCTATAAACCCTTCCTGGTGCCCCAAATAGGAGAGACCATTCCCAGGTAGGAAGCAGGTGCCCCAGGCATTTTGCCAAGAGTCTAACGGAGGTGCCTGAGCATCCTTAGCTGCCAGTCTTATACAAACCTGGAGCGGTGGACTAGAAAGAGTAGCTGTTCAGGCTATAAAAACCTACTAGATGAAGGTTTGTGCTTAAAATCATAGTTTTGAGCAACTGCAGTGAGAGACACCGAGGAGTCTCTGAAATTAGGCTGAAACAAAGTGCTGTTTCCACTGGGGCTGTTATGCACAAGGATGGTGGAGGGATGTAGAAAGGGTGTACTAAAGACAAGGCACCAGAGAAAGAACAGGAAGTACATTAAGACATCTCCCCATTTCCCTAAGGTACATCAAACTAAGGAATTAACCAGCTCCCTGGTGAGGAGGGGTGTGAGTTAATGCCACAGACTCTCATATACTGTTTGTAATTAAGAGCTCATTTTTACGCATGGAGCGTGTGTATTTGTATCAGCTCAAATGTCAATTCACGCCAAGTCATATGGATCGGAAGTAACTGCCTGAAACACTGGGTTGGTAAGGAATCTAAGTCTGAGGCTAGACTCAAAAACAAATATTGCCTTAGATGGAGAGAGGGAGCCAGGCCTGGGTGTGGAGGGGAAGATCAGGAGCCTTGATGACAAAGTCTAGGCCTTAACCGGTGGATAAATTATAGACGGTTGTTCGCTAATATGTGCAGTTGACCCTTGGACAGCATGGGTTTGAACTGTGCAAGTCTACTTTTATGCGGAACTTTTTTGACTACAGTACAGTTCTGTAAATGTATTTTCTCTTCCTTATGATTTTCTTAATAACATTGTCTTTTTTTAGTTTATTGTAAGAATACAGTACATAGTACATATTCAAAATGTCATAATCATCATCATCAACTGTTTTATATTATCCATAGGCTTCTGGTCGACAGTAGGTATTAGTAATCAAGTTTTGGTGGAGTCAAAAGTTATACGCAGATTTTCAGCTGTTGGGTCAGCACGCCTAACCCCTTCATTGTTCGAGGGTCAAATGTACAGTCATTCTCAGTGAATCTTGTCGTTCTCGTTATAAAGTCCTGAGTCCAAGGAATCCTATAAGGTATTAAGGTTGTGATGAGACAGGCACCGCTTTGGAAACAATTACTGTCAAAAGCTCAGGGCCAAGAAGGTGCACAGAGGATAGGCAACAGCTTTCACAGCTTATGCCAAACAAGACCAGCTTCTGAGTGTGCCACAAGCCGGGGGCCGGGGGGGGGGCGGGACCACTGTGTGGTTCAGACTTCATCCCACAGGGGTTGAGAAGACAGTGCTACCGAACAGAGTAGTGATTTAAAGCCATCTGGGAAATATGAATGGAAGAAACAGAATAAATTCCTTCCTGGAAGGCTAGCTTGTGGCTGATATCTCTTTTGGATTCACAGCTTGTTTCAAAGTCCAAGGAATAGGCAAACGTGTTCTTAATTTGAAGATAAAGAAGGAAGAGAAGCTATACACACTCAAGATGGGCCGACAGACGCAGGGCGTCACCCAAGAGAAGCAAAAAGGCAACAAAAGTTATGGACTCTGTTCAAATCAGCCACCTTGCTTGGGCTGTAGTCTTCTTGCTGGTGGCCAGTTTTGATATTTCGTCAGCTTTCTGGTCTTCGTCTTTCTTGCTTACAAGGACTAGGATGCAGTTTAAGTACCTGAGCATCTGTTCCATTAAATGATGCTGAGTAACATTAAATTACAACCATGGTACTAAGAGCTGACACGTGGATGTCAACCACGTGCCAGGCATCAGAACTCAGGTGTTCCTTGTGGTCTCATATTTAATCCTCACCACGTGAGGATTAACAAAAATAATATTAAATGCATAGAGTGCTTGATATGTGCCAGGCATGGTTCCCAGCCCTTTACAACCGTTAACTTGCTTACTGTTTACAACAGCCCTGTAAGGTAAATACTAAGACTCATCGTGAAGAAACCAAAGAACAGAGGTTAAGGAACTTGCCCAAGGGCACTCACAGCAAGTAGGTGGGCAGAACCAGGATAGGAATTCCGGTGATCTTGTGACACAGGCACTCTATGCACTGTCATGTGGAACAGAAGTGAGCAGGGACCCAGAGAGGTGAACTCTCTAGCGTAGGGTCACAGAGCGAAACCTAACTCACAGTCAGGATTTGAATCTGGCTCTATCTGACCTCAAAGACTGAGCCCCCAAGGACTCTCTCCCACTGCCGTAGGTTGGGCCAGAAAAAAGTTTTTTCTTTTGTTAACCTTTACCATATGAGGCTGTGCTATACTGCCTTTTAAGCATTTGAGGAAATCCAATTATTTCGTGAATGATACATGTTCAATTTTCAGATAATGCAAAAGCCTGCCTGGAAAAAAAAAGTCTGAATTCCACCTGGTTCTCTTTTGTTTCAGAGGAGACTGGGCTCATGCCTCCATACACATCACCCAAGGGAACCAAGACAAGGTTTCTAAGAACCCTTTGGCTAATTACCCTGAATTATTTGATACAAAGGCATTATCAACACAGTGCATTTTAAAGATCTGGAACTCTCTATTTCGGCTTGTGGATGATGTCCAGCACAGGCTTCTTTTATACCACCCACTCAGAATGCAGTGCTAGGATGGGGGAAGTATGTGTGAATGTCGCAGCATAAATGTGAATCTGAATGCACTCCAAAGCCAAACACAAATGCTTTTGGATTATTCATGGCTTCCTTCTCTTCACACCTCTCCTCTCATGTATTAAAGGGACGAAAAGGGAATCATAGCAAGTCCATTTATTCACACATTTATTTTTCTGCAAAACTCAAATCCCATCACTTCTCAATGACAAATCAAGAACATGACATTTCTTAGGGAAGCATACTCAGAAAGGATTCAAATCACAAACAACATGCTATGAAGAGCGTATTTAAGAGCAATACCTTGATCTGAAAGCCAGTCTGAAGCCTTGTTTGGTTGATAAAATCATACTCTGGTATTCCCCAACCAACTTCACCAACATACTCATGTTTATATTTTGCTGGTAAGCTTCTGTTTGAGGCAGGCCTCCATAAATATCTGAGATCTCCACTCTTTTCCAATGCTGGGCGTTTTTCTCCTATATAGGAAGTGTGCTGATGAACTTTAGTTAGATGATCTTTTATATAATCTGGGCCTTAAAAAGACAGAAAGAAAGACTTTTTAAAAACTTTACACTTGGGGCACCCGGGTAGCTTAGTCGGTTAAGTGTCTGACTCTTGATCTCAGCTGAGGTCTTGATCTCAGGGTCCTGAGTTCGAGCCCCAGACTGGGCTCCATGCTGGGCGTGGAGCCTACTTAAAAACAAAAACAAAAACAAAAACAACTCTACACTTTATTCTAAAATGTTGTTGTCATTTTAAATGGTGAAAATAATAATAGCTAATGATTATATGGCTTGACCAGGTTCTAGGTGTTATTGTAAGCCTTTTAGATATATTAGTTCAGTTAATCCTTATAACCGTGAGATACGTAATATTGTTTTCTCCCGTTTATAGGTGGGGATATGAGGCACAGAAAGACTGGTTACTCTTCTAGAGTCACGTTGCCAGACCGGCCGTCGGCTCTTAATTGTCCCCCACTCTACTGCTCTGTTTAGAACCAACTTAATACAGATATGTCTTAGATACTAAAAACCCTCACTTGTGCCACACTTGTCGGATGTGGGCTTTCAGACATTGAGGTGTTTGATGTAGATAGATAAAATCCTGAAATAAAAATTAGGAAATTTCCCAAATGTATCAGAAGCAACTGGAAAATGGGGACTCTCAGATGAGAAGGGCAGCTTATAACAGATGATGACCAAAGGCAGGGGTATTTAATAAATATCAGTATTTTAAATGTAAGACAGTGAACAAAAAGGAATCCATGAAATGTGGAAGTGGGTAAAACAAGCAAACATAGGAGAAGGTCTGGGAAAGGATCACTGAAATAAACCTGATATTGAAAGGTGAGGATGTGAAAGGTAAAGGGGAGCAAAGATCTATGGGAAGAATGGTACTGATTTAAAGTAGAAAGTGAGCTGCTGGCCAGGAAGAGTCTCAGAAGTCCCAGAACCAGCATAGCTGCAAGACTGTATGGCCAGGTTAGGGATGCAAAGAAGAAACTTCATTCTCATTACCAGAAGTTGACCAGAGACATTGGAGGTAGAAGCTGTGCTGCGGTCATGATGTCACCTGAGTCTCTCCTGGCGCTGGAGCTCCTTTCATCCGGCTCTCGGCCCAGGGAGCTCAGTGTTTGCAGAGCACACAGATGGGCCAGGGCTTTGACCAGGTACTCCAACAGAATGGTCAATGTGCTAACAAGTCCGTGCTTAGAAAATTGTCTAAGCTTTCCCAGGGAGTGGGGGACATAAGAAATTTCTCTTCAGACACATGATTTGGGCAGATGTTTTCACAGCTTCCTAATCACCATCACTCCCCATGATGCACTGAGTATTCACTGTGGCTAATTTCCCTTAATGAATACATTGGGGCTTCCATTTTATTCACGTCGGGTTTTCCCTCAGGTATAACGACTTCGGTAAAGAAGAGAATGGCCACAGCATGAAAAACTGTTTGTTTGTTTTTTTTCCCCTCAATGTGACAGGGGTTGAAGTCTTACCTACAAAACTCCTGTCATAAGGAGATTTTGCAGGGTCCTCTGTACGCAATGAAATACAGAAGAACGGTGGTTAGTCTTGTTGAAATTTCAGTGTATGTGCAGGCCAGTGTTTTCCCAAATGTTTCATCAAATGCTGCTCCCATGAGTGCACCACGAAGATATATATGTGGGAGGCGGGGGTGTTTTACAGTCAAAAACACATCTGGGAACATGGCTTGCTACCTTTGCCTTTTAGATATTCACAGCATATGAAAGCATATTAAAAGCTCTGAGAAATCCTATGGTAAGTAAACCTGTTTACAATTAGGTAACTCAGTGTTTCCCAAGCTTATTTAAACATGCATCTTTCCTCCCTACTGGGTCCTGTTTACACATTCTGCAGATACCAATGGACTTGGGGAAATACGGAGCCTCTCTGTAATGTTTCAGTTATCATTAAAATTTTGTCATCACCACATGCTACTACAGATGTGAGAGAAGATATATATTTGTAGTTAGTTCCTTAGTCACTCTGTGGACTGCAATTCATTTTTAAAAAGAGCCACGACTTGACAGCAGAATCAAAAGCACTTAGTTTCAGACAGTGTAGCTAAAGGTACACATACTCTGCAAACCAAGAGTATGTTTAAGGGGCGATGGGACGGGCAGGGGGCTTCAATCAGGGTTCTCTGTGGCTTTAGTCAAGTCACTGGATTTTTCTAAACTCCTGTCTCATCTGTGCTTTAGAAATAGTGTGATGGGATATTCATGGCACAGGAGATTCCTGGGAAGACCCTGCCCCGGGCACATAATGGACTCAGGCATCTGCCTTAAGAGACAGAGGCAGCTAGACGCCATAGCGCAAGCCAGTCCCCACATTCACAGCAGATGCTCCAGAGCCAACCCAGTGTTTACCAGACCCAGATGTCCACATAGCACGGCCCAGCCAGCAATACACAGAGAGGTGCTTTCCTTAAGGAGACCACTCCCCAGGTGTTTGGCTTTAAGTGAGCCATTTTTGCTCTTCTAAACTTCATCCTCCAGATCCTAGACTCTATGCTGGCTCTGATTTGTGTTGAAATTCTAGATTTACAGTTAAGGATGTGGTTTTTGACTCTAAACTACTGCAGTTTCAAATCCTGGCTTTGTCTTAGACTGGCTTTGTGACCCAGGAAAAGTTATTCAGCCTCTGAGTTTTCGGCTCCTTATCTATAAAATGAGCCTGGTGATGCCTACCTATCTTGTGGCCATGTTGAATGGAGAGGAGAGAATCAATTTTAAAGAAGTGCTTAGGTGAGAATGTGGCATATAATATACAGTTAATATTATTGTTAGTGTATTTTCCTCTTTTTTTGTTTGTTTTTTATTTTTATATGATGTTTTGTCTTACTTGTTGAATTTTTAAAAAACATATTTTAGGAACTTTCACTGATGAACGATTTATTCCTTACTGTGAACTTCAGATCCTTTCCTGAGGGAAAGGATCTAGATCAAGGTTTGGTAAACTTTTCTTATAAAGGGCCAGAGTGTAAATATTTTTGGCTTTGTAGGGCATACCATCTCTGTCTCAACTACTCAACTCTCCCATTGTAGGGCAAAAGTGGCCATCAACAACATGTAAACAAATGAATGTGACTATGTGCCAATAAAGCTTTATTTATGGACATTGAAATTGTAATTTCATGGAATTTTCGCACGTAACAAAATATTATTCTTCTTTTACTCTTTCCCTATTTGAAAATGTAAAAGCCATTCTTTTTTCACCAACCCTACAAAAACAGGTGGCAGGACAAATTTGAACCAGGAGCCATAGTTGGTTGACCTCTGCTCTAGATGGTAGGAAGATGGTGGACGCCAAGGGAGCAGATTGCCACAAAGGCCGAAAAGAGCACAGAGAGGACAATCTGGGAGGTTTCCCAACAAGCTTCATCTGCTGCCAACCCTTGAGAAGGACCCAGCTATGGCATGTGTCAGTAGAAAAAGAGAAAATTCCATCTCTGAGGCAAATGTCTCTTCCTTTCTTCCTTCCTTCCTTCCTTCCTTCCTTCCTTCCTTCCTTCCTTCCT